ACGTGAATCGGCTGTGTATATAGAGATTTCAACAACGCGACGACGGTGGATGTGCAAAATCAACCTATGCTTTCGAGATGTGAGATACTGGAATATATTACGCGATGATCTGCGCTGACCTTTCACGTGCCAGTAGCTCACGCTATCTAGTATAATTGCCAGGGACAATGGTCAAACAGAACAGTAATTCTATTGTTGATGATTGCACGATAATACGCGGAGATAGTGATATTTGTTATACTTTGCAGCATCAAGTCGTCAGAAGAAATTTATTACAATTATTTTATTCAAATCTTATGGAGCGTAAAATAATGCTCATGTGAAATAAATAACATTCTTTCATTAAAAAACGCTACGAATTAATTCCAACACCTAATAAATTTTTTAAGGAAATACGAGTGTACCTTCATATGATATTACTTTGAATTAAAATCTACATTAAAATCTATGTTTCAAAAAAAATCAGCAAACTTTAATCATCATGACAACTGAATGCTGTCTTCGTCGGTTTACGCGCACAAGAAGGACATTGTGAGCATAAAAAGTTATCACAGCTGAGACATTTTGTTCACTTACACGTTACTTGATAAGCCAAATCCTCAAATGCCTCACGGGTTTGCCCATTATTCTTCAAGCGTGCTAATGTTCCGCTTGTGAGACGATCCAATGCAACGTGACATCTCGCTACGACGCCCCGGGGCGCAACGAGGATTTTCGTCGCTTTATTCTCTTACGCGACAGTTTACTCGCTTTCCCAAAATGGCCAACCGTCGTGCGCCTCTCTTCCTTGATTGCAGCTATCGAGGTAACTCTTTGCATAATGCATATCAGCCTAACACCGGGGAAATGGAGAGAAAAGAGGAACAGACAGACAGACAGAGAGAGAGAGAGAGAGAGAGAGAGAGAGAAAGAGAGAGAGAGCGCAACGGACGCGATATAAAGGTACGCCGCGTTGTACCAGAGTGCAATTTAAATTTTCGGACTGACTCGCCGCAGAAACGGGAACTTTTTCAATGTATATAGTTTTTAAAAGCACCCGTGTCCTGTTGCCTACCCTGCATAATGCAAAGTAGCTTCGTATCCGCAACGTTTTACCGGCGCGTCGGATCGCCACGTACCGCCGGCTATCTGCCAGTTCGTGAATTTGTACGGACGTGGGATATGCACGGCAGGGTCACATTGCATTGGGGGTCACCATTTAGCGTGACGTTTTCCTTTTTTCTCACCGCCTCCCGTCGCGAGACGCTTTAAAACCGAGCGTTTAGATTTACGACTCCGACTCTCCGACTGTGCCGCTGCAATTTCGTGCTCCTTTTTTTTTCGCGGGCCGATTCGATGAAAGGATACGGGACCGTTTTAGATTCACACATTAGACTTTCATATTCGCCAAGCGCAAGTGTTCTAGTTCTTCTCTCGTTTTCCGTCGTGAATAGAAACGTTGGTTGGAAAAACGACCGATAAGTGTCGAATTATGATCACAGGCGCGGAATTTCTAAGCGCGCGTTATTACGAAGAAAAGCCTAGGCATCGAAAAACTCGTGGAGCTTGAATATGTCACGAGAACCAACCAGATTTATCTCTCAAATTATATCATTCGATATGCTTAGGAAAAAAAAAATCTTCGAATCGATTAAAAATATTATTGTGTCGTAAACAAAATCATTTTTCTAGGGCGTGCCAAAAAAATAAGTCAAAGTAAATATGTAAAATCGCAAGAAGATGAACAAATGAGGGAAGCGTTTCAATTGATTGTCACAATTTAACTTCGTTATGATTGGTAATCACAAACGTGCACGAAAACGTGAAGAAATGCATAGAATTGGATGATTCGTTATTGTAAAATTATCAATTATAACTCGTTTTAATATTAATTACAAATTGCAAATTGTAGATGTGAATCAGAAAGAGATCATATAAATGAAATTAAATTAATAAATTGGCATTCCACTTAATTAACACTCATCGAAGCCATTAAAATTCTACGGAATGATGAATATGTGTAGCTGATACCGAAAATACTAGTAACTATTTATTTTTCCAAATAAATAGATAAATAATATCAACGTAATATAGCAGATACGAATACTTTTCAAACGTATAAAAATAACTTCTATCGCAAATAGTAAAAAAGATATATATTTATTCTATAAATAAACTATTTACTTTTTTGTCCTTATCCAAATGTCTAAAGTTAATCAATTAAATTTTGCCACATCACGTATAATAACGATAATAATGCAAACAATAAATTACGCATTGAGGGTAATATTCAAATAAAAATGTATAAAGTTTATAAAATGGTTAAAAAGAGAAAGACTCGCATTAAATATTAATTTACGAGATTCGTTATACTAATGAGCGTTTGACGCGGTATAATACCGTGAGTATAATTACAAAAACTCGCATGTACGTTCTGGGAAAGTAAATAATTCACGAATAACGCTTTCAGCACGGATTTGACATCTGAAAATACGGTTCTCCATAAATGACTACCTCGTTACTGTCGCGTTATAAATAGATCTCAACGGCCTTGGTCAACATTCTTTGGGGTCGTCGGCTTCAACCGGCATCCTCACGCATCGTCAAGATGTTTTCTCGATTATATTGAAATTCTCCGTAGAAATCACAAACGGGATTCTCGATGAGAATCTTGTGTTAAGTGGACAAGTAAATGACATACGCTTCTTCAGAAATAACTTCGCTTATGTAATATGAGTGCACGAGTTATATCAGAACTCATACACTTTGTTTCGCAATTCTAAAGTGAAACATGGAAAGAAAATGATTTTGCTGAAGTGTCTAAAAATTTAGCGAGATACACATCTGAGAAAATAATTTTTGCTAGATTATTAAAGTAATTACGCGGGAATTTCAAACATGATGAGCAATGTTGCGTAAACTTTTCACATTCTAGCAATCAGTCTTAGCGTCTTACATAATTATTTTGATGTCCAACAAAATTATTTTTAGATCTGTATTTAGCTTAATTTTTAGATACTTCAACAAAACTTTTCTGTGTGAGAAACAAAAAATATTGATACAATAAGAACGAAAATTACAGTCGACATTATCTCTAATGTCCGTTTCTACTAATTTAGACTAACTTTAATCTCGGTTTAACTTGTTATTTTTGTATGTTTTCCTAGGAGAAACATGTTAGATATGGGGTTTTCTCATATCTAACAAGAATTAGAAAAAATAAAGAATAAGTAAAACCGAGATTAAAGTTACTCTACATTATCATAAATAGAGACGTAAGAGTTTTTTATTTTCAAATTCGATTGATATTTTACTAAAGTTGAAAGTTATCGAACGTTAATCAAGATTTTCTGTTTATTTATTAAATTTGCGTAAAATTTAATTCGATAAGATCTCTTAATTTTTAGTACTTTTTTTAATAATAACTTTAATGATAAAACACTTATTGTTTCTTTTCTCTCTCAACTATACAGAGTTTTTTTTAAACTAGAAACTTCTTTGCAGACTTAGTCTTGACAAAAAAAGCAAAAAAAAAATTGAATTAAATTGTACACAAAAGAATTAATCATATTTTATTCGCTGGTTTTTAGTTTCTTTCTGCAAACATAATTGAATTAAGATTTAATAATCTCACAGAAGATCACTAAGTGGACAGCTTAGTACCAAAGATTGAATTTAGCGGTCACAGAGTTACGGTCAGACAATTGTCGTGCTTGTTCCTTTCCGTTCTACATCTTCGTTGAATCGAAAAATCGTCCCGGGATCTCATTCGCTTCCTTTTCGAATCTAACGTGCTCGCGAATTGGTAGTCCGGTAGTGGATCAGCCTCGTGAATTCACTCTATGCGCGATCGGAAAGATATTTCGCGATTCTTCAACAATTCCGTTAACGACACTTCAATTGCGGGACTGCAGACGCAATTAATATGATTGTAACATTGTTGAAAAACTAACAGACCATGTTAAGGTATAAACGCAGTAGTGGATACGAATTTTTTATACGAACGGCTTTAGTAATAAGTGTTACGTCATTACGATATCGCTCCAATTTATCGGAATTATTGAGCGATATGTTATGTAACGTAAACTGACTATCATTTGCAACGTGATAGCAGAAAATCGATTTCGGTCTGTGTATCGAATACTGCGTTTTATCTTATCATAAAATATAGTCACAATTGTAAAACTTAATTATCCAGATGCACCATCATATCGGCAGTTCCTACATCAGTTTTCAGACTGATATGATAATAACACTAGGTTCACAATTATTGTTCAAATATAAACTATATTAAGGCCGCAATGCATGCGTAAAATTTTTAACACTGGAATAATATAATAGTTTAAAAAAAAATCATTAATATAATGGCGCATTCTGTCCGGAATAGTTTTGTAACTGACACACAGAAAAATACATACTGTATGCAAATAATAATTACTTCACATATTTCAAAACTTCGTACATGCGCAAATCTATGATGAGTTCATCACAATCATAAAGTCGCTCCTTCAATCAATAATATTGTTTAAAAGAAAAATTCTTATTTATAATACATATGATCATTAATTAATTTTATAAAACATTTGTAATACATATATTTTAAGATTATCATCAGGAAAATATTTTTGTTAGAGACAACTGTTACTTAGAAGAAAAAAAGTAAATTGAGTAATCACTTTTCTTATAGCGAATTCGATCACTTGCATAACACTGCATTAATGTATAATAAAAATTGCCATATAAAATTAACAAAGTTAAACGTAAAAACATATAAATATTTTAAGGGAATAAATACTTAATATAATGATATTATCACGTCATCTAATATAATATATAATACATATACAATTATTTCATATTGTCAAAGTTGATTTATTGTACTGTATTTGGATATTTATGTAAAATAGCTTTTAACGTGCATTAATCTAATATAATGCGAGAGATCGAAGTCATTATTAACAACAGAATGATATTTTTTTGTGTGCATAGAGAATCCGTGATTAAAGATTTCAAAATTTTACCGATTTCCAGAGACAAAGAAGAAGATCCTCTCATCAATCTCGATGAAATCTCGGTAATATCACAGGTTTTATCACAGAACGATGGGCAGTATTAGATTCGGTAAGACGTCCAGGTATCTCTCTCAAGGCAAGAGATCGATCACACGGTGTATCGTAATCCTTTCCCTTTATGAAATTTGTGAACTCGAAACGATAATAATCCCATCCGGTTTGGCTCACTGAAACGGCCAGCGATTACCGGGTCCTCGCTAATTCTCGCGTTGAAGTACAACGTGACACGAAGGGACAAGGTCGATGATCGGCACCGTGCTGTTTCGTCACGTGTCCGGCCGTCAAGAGGTGTTATCTTTGTCGCAGCAACGCTGACTCTTATTGTCTTTCACCTTCCTTCTTTCGTGACGGCACGTGATGAACGAATCCACGGGGGTTTCGCGTGCAGATTCGAAATCGTCGATCGTCGATGCAACACAGTCAGTAGACGACCGTTTCCAGCACGATCGTGCTATTCCAGCCAAATGCAGATTGCGTCTTAAAAGGTCACGCGAAGCTGTTGCATGTCCCGACGAGGGCGAGCCGGCGAAAGTTGAGCGTTGGCGCGCCGCACGTTCCCGATTCTACCAGCCGATTATTAACAGTGACGATTTCGCGCCGTTTCAACGTCGAAATTGGAGCGCAACGATTAGCGTCCGATTGTACCTCGGACGTGTCCAGCCGAGCGCGGCAATAACAACAACGATAATTGTCGATTATCGACGATCGGAGTACAATCGTGTTGAAATGCAACTCCGGTCAACAGGAACGGACTGGACTGACAGACGCACCCTCCGCGGACGAACTAGCGTGGCGGTTTAATAAAAAAAAAACGTAAAAAAAACGACTGGCGACACCCGGCTGTGGCACGCGCTGCCACGTCACTCCATTCGCGTGTAATCGCTGGCGTGAATTCACTGGCGGATATATATGTGGTTATGTGCGTGAGCGTATATGTATGAAGTTAGCTGTGAATGGGGCGCGTACGTCACACGCCGATTCTCTGCTTCTGCAGGCTCCAACGGTTCTTCGGAGCAACGAATGCTAATTGACAAGAAAATCGCGCCGATCCTTTCGCGTTTTGTCTTTTTCCCCTCTCGAATCCCGTCAAGAGGGTTCGGCCACAACAGAAACGGAACGCGGATAAAAGGACTCGTCGCGTGCAACACCGTCGAAATCGAAGGAGCAGCCTCTTTACCTCCGGGACACGTTGTGGCGCTCGCGCGGAATGTCGGGAACGTTCGGAATGTCGCGTAGCAACTCTTGGATGCGTCACGATCTCGTCTTTTTCCGCAAACGATACGGCCACCGCTTTCTCACACCGTCGCGATCTCGCTTTTCCTTTTTTCTCTCTCTCTCTCTCTCTTTCTCTCTATCTCTCACTCACACGCGCACTTTGCACTCGATGGCACTCACGACGCACGGTATCTCGATTACACTCGACCGCTTCTCTCACACAGCGCTCCGTCGCAACGCGAATGACGAATTAAAAACCGAATCGAATTAAATGTACGCGCGCAATCGCGTCCGCTGGAGCACTGACGCGCGGCACCGAACCGAACTCCGCAAGCAACTGCGGCCGACTTCGGTCGGAGTACTTCGGCGGCTCCGTTCGCCAGCCGAATGGACCCGAAGTGTCACGAAGCACCCGTCCATCCGCCACAATGTGCGCCCCGACGACCGACGACACTCCGGTCTCGACCTCGGGTCGAGACGGTACACCAAGCGAGAATTCCGTGAGAATTCGGGACCCTGAAGGATAAACGTCTCGCTTATTATAAGGTGCCAATCCACTTAACGCTGTAAATGTTTCGTCGATTAATTGGAAGAAAGAATTTTACGAATTGAATTTTAAGAATGCTGCAAAACATTTGCAGCGTGAAGTGGATCGCACCTTGTAGAGATAATTTGCATTAACTGCGAGTGCTTTTTAATTGTAAAATCACTAGACACTTTCGTACACTTTCGACGACACATAAATTGCGTTCCACAATTGCTAATCGTCAACACCAACATTATACATCCGTACTCAGCCCGAGAGCTACTAGTCGGCTGTGTATTTTCTAGTCACAATGACATGTTACTAATCGCAGCGGTTATAAATGAGATTAGAGATCGTTGAGTGGCTGGCATTTTGCTTTTTTTTTCATTTAATACAGATGAAAAAACCTACATTCAACTTTATCCGAAACTGTACACAGTATACACATGCCGTTCCAATTGAATCTTGCACAATGCTACACTATTTGTACATTCCTGTGTACGTTGTGTATTCCTGTGTACGTGTCAAGCAATTGGAAAGCATCCTGTGATATAACTCTCAACAGCAACGTCACTTGATAATAATAAAATAAGTTAAAAGGGTAAGAGAACTTGCTGAACTCGCAGAACTTGTTACGTAAAAAAAAAGCAAAGTAAAGAGTTTAATACGATAAAGCTTCGATTATATAATAATAAATATGTTAAATTTCTCTTTATCTTTATCTTACTCACAATAAATTAAATTATCATTATCATTAATATTTTTAAAATTAAATTATTATTATCATTAATACTTTTTGAAAAATATATGCAATATCAATTACGTAGTTTAATATATTTATTATTATAATATTATGTAATTGAAGCTTTATCGTATTAAACTTTATCGTATTAAACTTCTTATTTTATATTTTTCTTACCGAATTTTTTACGCAGCAAGTTCTGCTAATTAATTCTTATATATCCTTTGAATTCATTTTATTATCATTAAATATTCAGAATTTTTTTTTTGTTTTTTGAAATAACTGATTTGAATTTTTGGCGATTATACGATTGATACTATGAACTTCTAAACTGTAAGTAAAAAAACTTTAATTATTGCTCTATCAATCTTCACAAGGTAAAAATTTATTTGCATCCTGTTCTTCAAAGGATGCTTTAAAAATTGGAGTAATTTTTATAACTGCAGTTGAGAGTTAATCCGTCTAATATTTCAGAATATCCCGAGCATCGATCCTACCTCGGTCCATTTGATACTCCGAAACATTTCAACGGCAACACATGAAATTATTAATACATCATAAATTTTTCCGACTCGCTCAATATACTTTAATCAAAGGGTGTAGCTAAAGCGTAAATATTTGAAAATTTATCTTGGTCACATTGGCAGCGTTGTGCGTCAGTAGACAGCTAAAGAATAAAATCATGTGAAGAAATTAAGGACGATCAACCAGACTCTATTTTATATAATGCAAATTCTATCGATCATCTAAGCATAAGTCTCATATAATAATCCCACAATCCCCTGCATATTACATTCCATAGTGTCAATGACGAAACGCGTTATCGATAAATATTATTTATTAAAATGCAATGTCATCTGAAATGTCTGCAACGACGTTTATTAAAATAAATGTCCGATTTAAATCTGGATCAACATCGAAAAATTGAAACGATTATAGCTGTTCCGAATCCAACTCTCGTTGCGCAACGTCTTCATGCACAATGATCGTCGATTATCATCGTTGCATGCACTTCGCTTTGGATTAAAACGGGCACGGTGATGCCTGATGCGTGATGGAAATCATTTTCACGCCAAGCCCAAGATTTTCGTGCCTCGCACTCGCGATCCAGTATATGTCGTATAGTCTCAACAGCGTACCTATAATGTGAAGGAAATACGTGGGCACCGAATTCGCGCTACGAGTTCTTCAGAATCTAGTTAACTCCTTGCGATTTGCCGAACTTCGTTCTAATAACAAAGCGCACGCGAGCCTATCTAATAACCGTCATGATTACATCTTCATTAAGGACCGTCCGAGCAACAAGATATATCGCTGCGTTATTAAGTCGTTTATATAAATATCCATCATAAATGTTTACACACGTAAACATTAACGTTCATTAATAATGTTATGGAAAAACTTGTCAATCGAATATCATTAATTTCTTTCTTCCTTTACAGAAAATCAAGATTTTATTTTGTAGCATATGATTAGGATTAGGGAATATGATAACTTTGTCCTCGTTGCGAAATAGTTTTTTACATTAAACAGATATACTGATGAATGCAAGCGATTATTAAGATTTTTATTTTAAATAAGTAAGGAAAGAAAAACGATCGAGGCTAGATTTTAATGCCTAATAATATTGTATGTAAATTCTAAGTATATTTTATACTGTGCTGCTTACTGTCTGAAATTTGAAACTCAATCATAAACTGAAGTTGAAATAATAATATCACAATTAAATTGATCGTTGACTTGGTATAGCATTTCAAAAATTTGTAAAAAAAAAACAGCCAAGATTCATGCAATTTTTTTTAATTGGTTGACTGCATTGTAAGAAACTCCTTTTCTTATCTCACAAAGTACGCGGTACAAACTACATTTGTTCACTTTTAATCTTCTATCGAAATTCCTGCACATATATACATATGTACGAAAGAGACTCGGACAAAATTTCATTACACACATAAATCCTGCTTAACGTTGGTAATTTCAAACTCGCACGATTTCGTTTTTTCTTCGATGCTTATTTTCCGCGATGGAAGAGTTTAATTGCCCGCAACTCGGACTGCATAAGACACACATGATCGTTTCAGAGAGAAAAATATTATCAAAAGCCTCTGGATGAGATTACAAAATCCGGATGACCGGATGTACGCTCGCGGATTTACATTTTCATTAAAACCCTGATTGCAACCGCGGGCTTCTTGGGCGTTGTTGAAAGCCTGTCATCGTGTAATAAAGCACTTGGAAAGCCCCCTTTCTTTTTGCAAACCACCGACACATTCCAACTTTGATCTTCTTTCCAACAACGACCTTATTCTCTATCTTCTCTCCGCTTTCCTGATAGTCCATCGACTTCCCTCGCACGAGTTTTCCCCGAACCTGTCTCCCAAACGACCTCCCCCCTTCTCCTCATAAAAAATACAATATTTTCCTTTCATTTGATCAGACAACCTTCCCTCTCTTCCCTCTCTTATTCGTCGGTCTCTCCGTGTCTGTTCACCTCTTTGTGTGCCTGGCGGATCTGTAAGTTTAATTCGACGCGGAAGTCCAGGCGAGTCTGCACCACAACCGCTCGCTCTGGGCGACTTGATTGCTTTGTCCTCTGAGACTCTAATATGAATTACAAACCTGCTCCTTGACTTCTCCACTCTCGTTCCCTCCTCAATCCTCACCCAAACCGTTATCTCATCGTATTTCCCTGCCGACTGCGCATTCGCGTAGAGAAATGGGATGGTTACAAGGACATCATGTTTTGTTACCAGAAACGTAAATTCAGATGAAAGATAACTTATATATAAATACTATTTGTGCTGTACTGTCGTTTGAACGTGAAGAAGATCACAAAGAACGCATCTACATTCGCTTGTCAAAGTAAAATTGCGAGCATAATAAAAATACGTCTTCGTGATCGACACTTATGTTTCTGCAGTACAATCGCAATTTGCAGTGTATACGTTGCACGGAAACGATAAAAAAAAGCTTCTGACGCGTTCAGACGTGCGCGTGTCCCTTTTACGAGTTCCGCAATGTCACGGAAACGCATCTCCGGATGCGCGAGCGATAAAAAGAACCTACCGTTCATGACGATCGTATTTTTGCAACGCAGACAAAGACGCAGGAGGCAAACAAAAAAACTCATCGCACTTTCGAACAATAAAATTTCTATGTTCGGTTTTTA